AAAAATGTGCAGAAATAAATTTACAAAAATCTTGTATACTTTAGGCATTTTTAGGACTACTTATCTTAAAGAATATCCAGTGCCTATTCAATGACTTCAGTATGACCTTTCTTTCTGAATTTTTAAGATAAACGATATATTTGATGCCAATGTCACAAGCACAAGCAGCATATATGCATATTGCTCATGAGTCTAAAGCAATAGTGTTATGAGAATTCACAGGAACAGAATAAAAATATCACCAAATGCCTTTACTCCATGACTTCTGAAAGATGGCTTTACTTACACTCAGCAGGTGATGATGAAGTCTTTTGCCTGATCATGGCACGCTGCTGTGTGTAGGACTTCAGGGACTGACTAAGAAGCGCTTACTGCTGTGCAAAGGGATTTTAATGTACTCAAAATTTGGGGCATAAAAGCCTTCTCCTTTTACTGACATACATTTTATTGAATTCTAAGCTGCATATTAAAGTTCACGGCTATTAAAATGACTCATTGTATGTATTCATGGATACACCCCACAAAGGAGCACAAAACACTCTGTACTAAGGTTTTTACTTAATTTCCTAAGGTTTTGTTTCTCTTTATATTTTCAGGAAAGACAGAACAAGAGATACATTTTGTTCCATAGCTATTCTGTTACTCAAAAGCTAGCCTTAGACTGGAAAACAGGAATCCTGATTTTACAAAGCCCAGAAATGAATTTTGACTAACTACAGTGCTGAAGAGGCTTCAAGGGGAAGCTGGACGCCTGGAATACGAATACTGTGTAATACAGGGAGGTACAATTGTCAATATAGACAACTGCACCCAAACCCCTAATAAGGCTTGTTCTTTTCCACAGATTTCTGCACACACTTGTCTATTTCTCACCTTCACTTTTCCGTTTTAGATCATGAAAACCTGCCAAGACTTGAGATGTCAAGCATATATTGTAAGACTTTCCACAGGCTTCTGTGCCAGGCCCTTCACTGTGGTCAAATTGTGGCTGAGGGGGTTCAAAAACTTGGAAAGAAGGGCCTCACGATAAGACAGAGTAAGCTAAAAAGAAGCAGAAAAACTTTTTCAGCTAGAGATCTAAACAAGTTGGGCCTGTCTCTTTTAATGTAGTGTTGTTAGTTCAAACCTGAAGAAAGCTTTGGGGTTGTCTATCAAGTTTTTTGGAAGCTGGCAGAAAACAAGCTAGTGTTTGCTACAATGACTCTTCTAAAGCCTTTCCTTAGGGACAAAGTCAATCTTTAAGATAATGCGTACTGCCAAAGCTTCTGACATCTTGTAAAGAAGACTGTGACAAGCTGTATGGACCTCAAGGTCAAAGAAAAGGAAGAGATGGTGTAACAATTTGATCTGGTGGTGAAAAAAAAGTTTTGGCTTGAGAAGTTTTTTCTGAACAAGAGCATGGTTCTCGTCTGAGACGCATAGTTGGAAAGTCTCTATAGGGGAGCATTGGTGAAATGGATATTCATTTTTCCTCGTGGATCTCTGGTGAAGATAATTTGGAGAGCATGTGAGAGTAGAGCTTCTCAGACTGAGGCATGCACCAAGGTACCCAATACCTTGGATGGGAACCACCGTGAGAATGAGATGGTGGCCATGACAGAAAATACCAAGAAACATCTCCTGTTTCATGCATCTAACGTGATTCATCAGCTTAAACGCCCAATATGAGGAATATAAGTCACACAAGTCTGATCTATATGTTTGCTTGACTTCTCACTGTTAACATGCAAAGCTGGGACGAAGCATAATGAGAAAAAGCTCAGCTAACCTTTGAGGGGGCTAGTTCAAGAAAAAGAGATTTCTTATCAACAGTCATTGATCCCAATATCAAAATACTTAGCACTGAAGTAGAAGGCTTTGCAGAGAGAATTAACTCCTCTTGAAAGGTAAAGTTAAATCTTTGCTGCTATAAATTTTATAATGAATACTGATACTAAATATAACAAATTGTTGTCACTGGAGCAGGTGATTTTATCATGACTTTTACTGAGAGGACAGCAATTCAAAATGCTGGAACATTGGGAATTGGAAAGAAGATGCCAGGGAAAATATTCAGGGAAACTGGTGGCTGAATCATAAATACTATCAGGCTGTCTATAGGATAAGCCCCGAGCCTTTTCTTTTTTTACTTGAAATAGGCAAAGGATTCCTACCTACCATATTCAAGAACATCCGTGACTTCCTTCTACATTCCTGTAAGGACTTTTAGCACAACTTCCCTCTCACATGAAGATAGGTATAGAGCCCTGCACAAGAATACAGCTACCTAAATTGGCACTCTGATAAAGAGCAAGTCCCTCTAATGACAAAGAACACATTCAGTGCGACACACTGTGATGACTCAAGCAATGAACACATCACATCTTGTCAAGTGACTGTCCTGCTGCAGTTGTTTGCCAGCCCGTATCATTCACGTGTCAATTAAAAATGTCTAAAAGGCCCTTTTGCTGTTAGACTCTGTGTTGTTTTACATGAATATACCATTTTTTTCAGAACTATTGGAGTTGCTTGCATTAATGTTACTTGCAATGTGTAGGCAGAATGCTTACTTTTGGAGCAATTTATTCAAATAAAAGAGAGTCTCCCTCATCAGAATCTATTGTTGTCAGCATCTGAAAATGGCACTGATCTCCAGCCTTCATACTTCTGTTTCTACAGTGACTTGCCACCTAGACAGATCTCACTGCACTTTCACATCGTCTCTACTGCTCTTCTTTTCAGTTTCATCAGAACTCCAGCTACTCACTTTTTTAAGAAAAAACCCCAACATTCTCTCTTTCATGAGAAGTTGTCAACTGGAAGACCCCAACATAAGGCCGTGACTTCCTGATAAAACCGAATAGCACAAGTCTAAATGATAGTAGCCTTACCTAAGCAGCACTGCTGTGTGGATAAAGTACAATACATCACGTGAAGTTTGCTGAGGGACGAGCAGACCAGCCGAGGCCTCGCGCATCATTCTGCAGCTAGATGTGCTTCCTTCTCACCACTGAAAACTCCCCCGCTGTGCTCTGTGTGCAGGCTGGCCATGTGTAACACACTGCAAGGATCAGCTTGTGTATGTGGATGCCGGGTACTGTGCTCACTCACTTGTTTCTTACCCTAACTTCCAAGCAATTAACATTCTCACTCAACTTTACATATTCAGAAAATGACAAGGTCATAGTATGTTTAGCAGAAAGGGCAACAACCTGAGTAAATATTTTGATAGATGTCTTTAAAATAGCTATAATAGTGCACAAAAGGAGATCTATACCTTTATTTATCAAAAAAAAGCCACCCCAAACAAACCCAAAACATACTCCCCCCTTAATTTGTTTTCTTAATGAACGTAACTTGAAAATCATTCATGAGTACAGTCTGCTGGAAGTTCTCAGTTGGGTCTTTTGGCCTACATACTCAGCTGACTGTTCTCATTCAGGAATGAAACGACTAGGGAAGTGTTCCAAAACCAGGAAGTCTAATGCATTAAATGTACATTATTGCATTTAATCAGGCTTTTCATTAGCTTATGGCTAGTCTATAAACTATTCTGAAATGTGACATTTCCAAAAGATCATATTCCAAATTTTTCAGCATTTAACCACCACTACATGTTCATTGCATCAGAACCAATACAATGTGAAAACCACGAAACAGTACTAGAAAAACCAGAATTTGAAAGAAGCAAGCGATTTAACTGCACCTCAGCCCTAAAGGCAATGACTGTGAAGTTCAAATAGTTAAGGTTTATCCTGCAACCATGAGAACACAAGGTGAAGGCTGTAAAATTAGCAAGCATTTTGACTAAACAACCTCACCTTGCAACTAGTTGGCATAACATGATGCATTTTTTTTAGTTTTATAAGTACTTTCCACGAAAAGGGAATGGAAAGCAATCAGAGTGGTGGGCTGTGAGACCTGCTGAATGGTTGCACAATAAAGGTTAAGCCATGAAGTGAAACCCTAGGCGCTGCTGCATCGTGAAATACCATAAAACTGAACAACTTCTATCTGGAGTAAATCTATATTGGTATTTCCCTTCAATACATGGTGCATTTGGCACTGTAATTTGTTTTAAACAGTGATTGGCATCAATGCTGTTGTGACTGCATTAATTTTCTTTAGGGGATTCATTAAGTAACTACTAGTGTTAACTGTTTGAACTTATTTGTATTCTAATAACATCCACCATATTGTTGGCAGTGTCCACCCACACAAAAGAAAACTGCCCTTTTTTAAAGAGTTTACAATCTGAGAACAGTTGAATGTTGCAACACTGCAAAGAAAATTTGAGTTCAGAAATAATACACAGCATTCTGATTATCAGATCAGCACCTACATTAGGGTACGATAAATCTCGGAAAGCCAGAAATTACTGAATTAAGATAAAAGCTCCAGATACATTAACCAGTACATTCTTGAAAGGAAGCACAGATCTTTGTTTTATTAAGACACAGAAATCCTGATTAATAAAGCTGGGATTTCAATGATGCTGAAAGCAATTAGACAACGAGTTTCAAAGGGAGCTGCACATGCAAATTCCTCTGTCTCATTTGAAAATCCCAGCCAACAGCAGCAAACATGTTTGGTTTAAATCCTCATATCATCATGGGAATCAAATCCATTAGTCTTTCTTTCCAGGCAAGAATGAAGTGTGGGTGAGGGAGCAAACATAGTGGGAAGATGGGTATCTGCAGGTGACTTATGTGCATATGCTGAGATAATAAAGAAAGCGAAGTTCAGAACGACACAGACAGCAGTGAAGGCAAACTAGATCCTTCAAGGATGACAATGGTTATGCAGATTATGAGAAAACAATCAAAAGTGATAGTCAACCTTCCTCCTCTGGAGGCAAGTAGGCATCCAGTCTGTAAAGAATACCTTACCATCCACTTCTTTTTGCTGAAGGGATTTTTTGGGGTGGGGAAACAACACATGGTTTTCTTTGCTGTGTTCTGCAGTTTTTCAAATCCATACTATTTGTTTGAATATCAGTAATATATGAATATGCTACTTACTCCCTCAAGCGTCTCAGTTTGGTCTCAGCCATGGTGCTGTTGAGAGCTCTGAATCCCTGGGGCGCCCCTGGAGACACTGCAGTGACTGTCCCCGAGCCTACAAATCAATGCACAGACACATAACCTTAGTCACCTTCATCCCCTGAGCTCTATTACAGAATCAAGGGCAGTCAGAAAGAGGAAGACCTTGTTTCTCACAAGGTAGTGCCACATTAATTAAAGATGAATTAGATTATTAGATGCACATTAAGGGCAACTCCTCTCTGAGAGACAAGTAGGTTTGCAGCTTAAAGACACCAGAACTGAAACAACAATTTTCCTTCTGTGTAGCGCACAGGGAATTACATTACAGCAGAAAGAACAGTCACTTGAGGAAGTGCTGGGCAGATAAATATTTGACAAAATGAAATTTTCTTAGATAATATGCATTTTCCTGCATTGTTCTTGCACATATTTATAAGAGCTAGAACCTTCTTCCTAACAGGCAAGTCTCTCCTTTAGCTTGATCATTACTGTAAATTGAAAGTATTTAACTTGCAACATCACTTTCCCCTTCAGATGAAGGCACTCTTTTTATGTATGCAGATATATATATACACACTCATACCTATATATGTAAATACATACATGTGAGAAATATACATGCACGCTCTTTCTGTTTAGAGGCCTCATGGGCTGTTGCAATATTTAAGGACCTAACACTCACAGACCGCTGTGGTGCTCATCCACAGGAACACAGAAGTGCTGCATCACAGAGGACTGTCAGGGTTGTCAGTGCAAATACCCTGCAATTTCATGTTGCTGTTCCATTGCATAAATCTCTGCTTAACCTAAGGAATTTAGGTTGCCTAGAGATGCTGTGGCTGCCCCATCCCTGGAGGTGTTCAAGGCCAGGCTGGAAGGGGCTTTGAGCAACCTGGTCTGGTGGGAGGTGTCCCTGCCCAGGGCAGGGGGGTTGGAACTCGATGACCTTTAAGGTCCCTTCCAACCCAAACCATTCTATGATTCTATGTTTTATTTATTGCCTTTACTGCTCCCATTGGAAGACAATTCCAGAGCCTCACTGTGAGCTTGTGGCTAAAATCTCCCCTCCAGTTTCCCAACAAAACTTTATCGGCCAGTTCATGCTCATTTTTCTCCTGTGTCTGTCCTTTTCTTTGGCTTACTCAGTTCTTCCCTTCCCTTTTGCATACTACTGCCATTTCTTTATAAATGGAAAAGGAGATCCTACTTCAGCTTTCAATTTGCTAAACTAAACAAAGCAGCTATTTTAGTTTCTTCTTGAAAAATATTTGACATTAGGATTTCACTGCCCAAAAGAGGAGAATGTGTATCATGGTGGAGCTACATCCTGTGTAAATGTATAGGCTGTGGCACACAGTGCCCTAGTTCTGAACAGACACAGGGTATGAACACGCCAAAAGCCACACAAACACATTGACACTATGCCTTGTCTAAATGAGCACCCTTTCCTCTCCTAGCAGGGGTTTTTAGCTTGGGTTCAGTTGGGGTTTAGTTTGGATTGCATCAACATTGATCTCATGCAAGCCATAGAGAGCTTGCAGTTACCCTCCTGTGAGGAGCTGTGGAGACACTCCCAGACAGAAATGAATGCTTCCCTGGAATGCATAATCATGGCTTTCCCAAGAGTTAAGCTCCTACGTTTTACATGACTCTAGACCCCGATCACATAAGATTGAATATTGAGATTAAAATTGAGACTATCCTACTGAATCACTCAGAGCGTCTGCTGGATTCAGAAGATAGGAAGCAGACATGGAGAGAAACCACAGAAGAAATGGATTACTGGCTATGGACAAAAAAAAATAATGACTTTTTCAAACATTTTCCTAACTTCTCTTTACACCTAATGGCTAGCAGTGTCCGGTGTCTAAGTATTACAACTGAGGTAGAGTTAACATAGTTTAAAAGATGAGAAATGACAAGCTCAGTTCTTACTAGCAACCAGTAACTTCACCAATTGATGCAAAAAACATTTCCTGATCAATTACTCTAACACTGCACATGCATATCCATACATTTTTACATGGCGTCTGTAAGCATTCAATTACTTGAGCAGCATTGGAAAATTCAGCTGTCCTCGTGGTGGCCCTGAGGAAACCTCAAGTACTGTGCAAAGCAACGCTAATGACTTATTGGGTGGCATGCTCCTCTTGGAGTTGGCATAGGACTAAGGTCCACATGTGGGACTTTGTGGCCTCAAAAGCTATAAAAAATTGACACCCTGAGCACCAATAGTCGAAGGAAAACACAATCTTTGCATTTTCTTAAGAAAGAATACATTTCACCACAGGCCTCAGTTAAATTCTGGTATTACTATTATTACAGGATATATCACTGTAGTAAGAGCTCAGCATATTCTTTCTGCTTAGTGGGTTCAATCTATTTATTGCTATGATATCTTCTTCTCCTTCGACATTTCATTATTAAAGACATCCTTCTTGTTTTTTCTGGGATTCCAGCCTAGATAATTCGTATTTTGTCTACTCTTCACGCTGGCGGTTGGCCAAGCAAAACTTATTCTCTATGTGCAAACTAGTATCTATCTTCCTCTCCATTTAATATGATTTTCTGGGTACTGTAAGGCAGCTGCAATGACTACAAGTTCTGGGATGCTGCAGAAGTGTGGTTAGTCTTAAAAAAAAGAGTTCTCAGTGAAAACTGTTAAGAGCTTCTCACATTGTTGCTACAATACTGCAAAAAATTCTCCTGGGATGATTCATAACTCACCAACTTCTATATGAGAGGCATTTTCTTAGTAGCAGTTACTTGATTAAAAATATATTTTGCACCCAGATTCAAGCAGTTTGCCTACCCATACATCAACACAGAACAAGGAACTACGCTTCTCCAAAAAGTGGCCAGACTACTATTTGCATTTTTAAGTAATATATCATTCTTGGTTCATGAAACAAAATCCAATTAATCAACAAGAGCACTGACTTTTAAAAACCAGGTATTGTGGTTTTCTAAATGCATTTCAAAGCCAAATACTCTCCCAGTGTCTAGCCCAGTACTGCAGCGAACAACATAGTGCAAAAGGGCAAAAGACTTTTGTCCTCTCAGGTCATGGAGCACTAGTTTGAGGTTCTCACTGCATCCTCCTGCTCTGTCAAAGGGTAGATGAAAGGATCTGTAGGGAAACAAATCCTCTGGCTGACATTTATTCACAGTTACTTACATTTAAAATGGGTGATTATGATTATATGGTGAGACTTTTCATACATTATGGTCCAAAGGCATTCCTACCATCATTTCTGCTAACAACCAAATAATTGGTGATAGACATTTACTCTTGGTAAGCCATTATGTGTTGTGAAGCTATTATCTTCACTGAATCATAGACTTCTGTTTGGATTTTGGATTTCTTACTTCAGCTTTCACTGCCACATATGAGATCCTTCAAGGACTTTTACTACAAGATTAAAAATCTCCTTAAAATCAGATGTATTTTCCTGAGTCTATCAACAATACAGTGACCCAACCGCCTCTAACCTTTTCCTCCTTTACAATAAGGAGATATAGTAAATTTCAAAGCCAGGTTTTCAAAATTTGTTTCATTTGCAGTTCTTTTCTGGGATCTTCCCAATTTTTGAAACTTTATCAACATGGACTATCTTATTTCAAATATACTCCACATGGAACCGTACAGCCAACCCAAAATGAACCCTGAACCACACTAAAGCACTGGTATTCTCGGTGACCCAATGGGAACTCCTCAGGAGAAAAGTCAGTTACTTCAAAACCTCGGCTGCTTTTACCCTTCAACATGGAGTTTAAACTAAAGAAACTCTACCTATGGAAAAACAATGTATATTTAATGCATTCTCTTTATTGCAGCCCACGCTGACATTAAAAAAGTTTTAGTTTTATTCTATTCAGAAGTTCTCTAACATCTGCTTGAAATGGTATGTAATTTTTTCATAATAGCCTTAACAATGAAAGACACTACAAGAAATTCCCTTCAGGCTGGATTTCTGCATCTACCCTACCACTGAAATCCATGCTGTTTTCAGGAGTAGCCATTACAATGTATTCCAGCTCTGTAGCCTAATAATATGGTATTACCACTGCTAGTACCAGTTCAAATGCTTGGACCCAAGTTTGCAAGGCTTCAGGCTTTGTCCGAACTTGTCTTGACCTGCCCTGAACTTTGATTTAATTGCTTAAGCTGTAACAGCTGTTCTTCTAACCATGACCAGGTAGTTGTGGCTATTTTGTCTTATTTCCACTATTTTTCTATCATACAACCTGCACTTTTAGATGGATAGTAGTAGACTAGATAGATAGTGTAGAATGATGTATTTATAACTAACTTAATTCAATTAATATAGAGGAATACAGGCATGGTACAACAGCAGATGCATTGAAAAGTGGGACAAAGGATGGATGAGGGTTAAAGGACTACAGGCATGAGGTGGGGCACAGGCAGGTGTTGTCAATCCCACAGCTATAAACAATTTGCTAGTGATCAGTTAAAGAAATGCAGACATGGAAGTGGACGTAACTAGCTTTAGGGTGAACAAAGAGAACAAGTACTTAACCTATGTAAAATGCATGATATACAGAAAATTTTGATGTAACATGAATTTGCAGCCCAGTAAAGAAAAAGCAAGGTATAAATGAGTGTTAGTGAACCCATACAAACCGCCCCAACTGCAGCTTTGTAGCTTGACATTGGAAGAACTAAAAATAGTAAATATTTAAATTGCCTCAGTGACACTGAACATACAAAGATAAAAGGGACTCTAGCAGATTTGTCTCTTATTATCATCACCACAAATATTTGATTGGAACAGACCATACAAACCTAATTACAAACTCAGCTTGGAGAAAGGCTTTAAGTTTCAGCACAGACTGGTCAGAGATTTTTGAATTATTAAAGCACAATTTAATTCTTTAATACTAGAATTTTAAAAAGCATCTTGTTCTTAATACTGAAAGAAAAAGAGGAAGACAAGAGTCTCTTTAATACTAAGATTTTTTAAAAATACCACTGTTTGGCTAATACTCTGGGTTATTCCCAGAAGGTCTCAAGGCAATTCCTCTCTTTCATTAAAATCATACAACATTGAAGCATAGAGCTAAATTTTGTCCCTATTTCCATTCCTGCAAACCCACTGCAGACAATGATGCTGCAAGTGCATAAATGAATGCAGAATTTGAAGACCACAGGATCTCTGTTAGCATGAAGACAAGCTGGATGTGAGTGTGCCTTCCTTCAGTCCAAGGATCTGCCTGACGTGAGACCCAGAAGGTGACCAGACATGATCCAGTTTTCCCAGGCTTCCCCTACATTATTGTGTCAGAGACACAAGGTAATACTAAGTCAGGTTTACCCAAACTGAACGAGTATAAATTTGGCTGCTAAACAAGACTGCAGTTCCCCTGGGAGCCTTTGGGAACTGAGCTGGGCTCTCACACAATACACACGCAGGCTGCTGTTGGCAAAGTTCAACCCGGTGGTCTTCAAGGGCAGTGACTACACCAGCCTCAGCAAATAGCCTTCTTTCACTTAATTTTCCTTTTTAGCTTTTAAGTAGAACACAGGAATTCAGGCTTTCAAACTCTAAATCTATAGCGAGAACTTGCAGGAGATTTTAGGATTAAACGGCAAGTTTAAATTCTCAGTGATTTTTCTGTGCCTGCAGTGAGATACTGTAAAATAAAATAAATATTATCCAAACCTGAATCATCATTTAAAAGAAATTTTAAAATATTTTAACTCATTTTCTCTTATTGTTACCAGTACTAGAAACTATAAAAAACCCTACATATCCTTAGACATTTTCCTCTCGAGAAAAGATGGCAGAAGCCAAGTTCTTAAAAGCATTTGTTATAACATTCCACACTTCTGACCATCATGTTTTATGACTATTATTTTCAGCAAAAGCATTTAACTGTGTATTCCTTTTCTTTTGGCATATTTATACTTCTCTGCAGTAGGTTAAGGAAGCATTTTTCAACAAAATCACATTTTTGAGTTACTTTGTTGCAAAATGGAAATAATTGGACTGTGATGAATACAGATTGCTAGTAACTCCTGCTATTAGGTTTAAAGAAGAGATGTCATCTTACCCAATGAGCTGTTATTCAAGAAGTTCTCCAAACACTTGACCATTGCCTCAATATCACTGTCCTGTGAATAAATGAAATAAGCAATAGCATTAGTGTGAGCACAAATTTAACTATAAGCACATACATCAGATGTATGATCCCACAAACATAAAGGACATTACTCTATTCCAATAAGTGTCAACGCTAGACTACAAAGAGTGTACATTCCTCAGGACTTTTTCTATGCTTTCTTCTCCTATTAGGCTTGGGAATGATGTTATATACAAACAATTATTTACATCAGATTCCTTGCAGAACACAAGTACGTAGAACAACTGTGTATGGAGTTTAAAGAAGATATGTTTACTGTGGAGGGTGGTGTGCAATCTCTGAAACTACACCAGCATTTTATCATCAGTTAGTCCTGGAATATCTAAAACAGTATTACACTGAAAAAGGCAAGTATGTAGTTCTTAACTATGCCAAAATTCTTATGCATATGATAGCTGCCCACTACAAATTATATAGATAAGTATAATTATATACATAAGTATATTATATATACTTATGTTTCATGTAGTTGTATCTACTTACATATCTACTAACGACTAATTGAAAAAAATTTTAATTAAGAAGAGATTTTAGCACTTTTCTATTTCAAGTATTCTGTTACCAGACAGATAGTTAACAGTTTTGCCATGATACCTTTAATGGGAAATGCTGTTTGTGTACACAGATGAAATTTAAAGATCTGTCTATTAAGCAATGATTGGGCTCCATGAAGTAGATCACAATTTTATTAAAGTCCAAGAAAAACTTGGACTCTGAATTTCTAAATGCTGCTGCCATATCACATTTGACAGCTTGGCATTTCTTGACTAGTCAAAACTGAAAGTAAAATTTTTAACTTTGATGAAAAATCTGCCAAAAATCTGTATTTTAAAAAATATTGAGAAACCTATGGCTTTAAAGTTTAAAACACTGGAATAAAAAGAAACACTCTAAGTTATTTTATGGGCTTATATTTTAAACAGGCTCTGCTATTTTAGCTGAGGTTTGCAAGATGAGAATCAGTTCCTTGGTTAGCCATTTTGACAGGTAACTCAAAGGCTTATAGGTCTGAAGGAGCCTCTTTACCCTTTTGGAGCAGCCTGTGGTGTCCTGGCTGGAAAAAATCAGCACCAGGGTGCTGCAGAATGTATTTCATTTATATATAAGATATATATTGAATATTAAATGAAGACAGACTTAATATGACAGATATAATTCCTTTGTATTTGTAAAAAAAACCCATAAACAAATGAAAAAACAAAAAAACCTAAAAAAAGCCCCAACAAAACAACAAAAAAGAAACTTTAGGACTTCATTGAAAAGTTATTAAATATTTTTCATTCAAAACTCAGATTTGATAATAATGTTCTGCTTACAAGAATTATTCTATAGACAGACAGAAAAAAAACATGGTAAACAGCCAAATACAATATTAATACAATTGCTTTAATAAAACCTGTTTTTCATTTTTAATGGGATAAAGACTGTAATTCCCAAAGCTTTGACTTGGCACAATAGGACATCATATTTACTCCAGATATCACAACAGTGCTGATTTTTATTAATTATGCTGTAAGGCAAAAGATACACTTTCACCACTTCAGTCACCACCAGTTTTAAAGGAAACGAGCCAGCTTCACTTGCCTACCTTCAAATAAAATTTCAATGAGTAAGAGAATGTGGTTTCACACAGTGGTAAATAGTTGAATAAATGGTTAATCAGCTTACACTGAGGTAGAAACTAATTATGCCTTTTGTCCACTTGGGTTTAGCATCCAAGAGGATTTTAGCTGGTTTATTTAATATGTTTATTTATTTACTATATTTCTTTATTGTTTCTCTTTTTGCAAAGAAAGCAAAGCCCTACAGAATAGGCAAGGAACTCTGACAGATAGAGGCACCCTTACACATAAGAATCAGTGTGGATGAATGCTTGCACGTTTCAAATTTAGAACGAATAAAACCCTTTCTAACAGCAAAGGCACATGTTAGGAATCCAGTGGAGCATTTTTAGGTGACAGCACACAGACCACCCAGAGCTGCTGGAGCTGTGATGATCTACTTCTCTGCAGTAGGTTAAGGAAGCATTTTTCAACAAAATCACATTTTTGAGTTACTTTGTTGCAAAATGGAAATAATTGGACTGTGATGAATACAGATTGCTAGTAACTCCTGCTATTAGGTTTAAAGAAGAGATGTCATCTTACCCAATGAGCTGTTATTCAAGAAGTTCTCCAAACACTTGACCATTGCCTCAATATCACTGTCCTGTGAATAAATGAAATAAGCAATAGCATTAGCATGAGCACAAATTTAACTATAAGCACACAAATCAGATACATGATCCCACAAACATAAAGGATATTACTCTATTCCAATAAGTGTCAACACTAGACTACAAAGAGTGTACATTCCTCAGGACTTTTTCTATGCTTTCTTCTCCTATTAGGCTTGGGAATGATGTTATATACAAACCATTATTTACATCAGATTCCTTGCAGAACACAAGTATGTAGAACAACTGTGTATGGAGTTTAAAGAAGATGTGTTTACTGTGGAGGTTGGTGTGCAATCTCTGAAACTACACCAGCATTTTATCATCAGTTAGTCCTGGAATATCTAAAACAGTATTACACTGAAAAAGGCAAGTATGTAGTTCTTAACTATGCCAAAATTCTTATGCATATGATAGCTGCCCACTACAAATTATATAGATAAGTATAATTATATACATAAGTATATTATATATACTTATGTTTCATGTAGTTGTATCTACTTACATATCTACTAACGACTAATTGAAAAAAATTTTAATTAAGAAGAGATTTTAGCACTTTTCTATTTCAAGTATTCTGTTACCAGACAGATAGTTAACAGTTTTGCCATGATACCTTTAATGGGAAATGCTGTTTGTGTACACAGATGAAATTTAAAGATCTGTCTATTAAGCAATGATTGGGCTCCATGAAGTAGATCACAATTTTCTTAAAGTCCAAGAAAAACTTGGACTCTGAATTTCTAGATGATGCTGCTATATCACATTTGACAACTTGGCATTTCTTGACTATTCAAAACCGAAAGTCAAATTTTTAACTTTGATGAAAAATCTGCCAAAAATCTGTATTTTAAAAAATATTGAGAAACCTATGGCTTTAAAGTTTAAAACACTGGAATAAAAAGAAACACTCTAAGTTATTTTATGGGCTTATATTTTAAACAGGCTCTGCTATTTTAGCTGAGGTTTGCAAGATGAGAATCAGTTCCTTGGTTAGCCATTTTGACAGGTAACTCAAAGGCTTATAGGTCTGAAGGAGCCTCTTTACCCTTTTGGAGCAGCCTGTGGTGTCCTGGCTGGAAAAAATCAGCACCAGGGTGCTGCAGAATGTATTTCATTTATATATAAGATATATATTGAATATTAAATGAAGACAGACTTAATATGACAGATATAATTCCTTTGTATTTGTAAAAAAAACCCATAAACAAATGAAAAAACAAAAAAACCTAAAAAAAGCCCCAACAAAACAACAAAAAAGAAACTTTAGGACTTCATTGAAAAGTTATTAAATATTTTTCATTCAAAACTCAGATTTGATAATAATGTTCTGCTTACAAGAATTATTCTATAGACAGACAGAAAAAAAACATGGTAAACAGCCAAATACAATATTAATACAATTGCTTTAATAAAACCTGTTTTTCATTTTTAATGGGATAAAGACTGTAATTCCCAAAGCTTTGACTTGGCACAATAGGACATCATATTTACTCCAGATATCACAACAGTGCTGATTTTTATTAATTATGCTGTAAGGCAAAAGATACACTTTCACCACTTCAGTCACCACCAGTTTTAAAGGAAACGAGCCAGCTTCACTTGCCTACCTTCAAATAAAATTTCAATGAGTAAGAGAATGTGGTTTCACACAGTGGTAAATAGTTGAATAAATGGTTAATCAGCTTACACTGAGGTAGAAACTAATTATGCCTTTTGTCCACTTGGGTTTAGCATCCAAGAGGATTTTAGCTGGTTTATTTAATATGTTTATTTATTTACTATATTTCTTTATTGTTTCTCTTTTTGCAAAGAAAGCAAAGCCCTACAGAATAGGCAAGGAACTCTGACAGATAGAGGCACCCTTACACATAAGAATCAGTGTGGATGAATGCTTGCACGTTTCAAATTTAGAACGAATAAAACCCTTTCTAACAGCAAAGGCACATGTTAGGAATCCAGTGGAGCATTTTTAGGTGACAGCACACAGACCACCCAGAGCTGCTGGAGCTGTGATGATCTATGCCAGCTGATTATCTGGCTTGACAACCTCAGAAGCGACCTGGAAATTGAAAATATGAAGTTGATGTATCACATTAGTAGACTTTGTCAGAATGAAGAGGGTGAATTTGCTATTATCCTCACTAAAAGAAAAAACAAAGAACAAGGTGACAAACTGCAGTAAAAAGAATCCGTTACCATCTCAGCTAAATTAAAGTCAATGAAAGCTTCACTGTACACTAACTTTTCAAGATTAAAACTCTCCTAAGCTTCATATATTAATTTTTTTTTAGAAACAAGTTCCTCATTCTCCCTAATTTTCCTCCTAATTAGAAACCAGTGTTCCTAGGAAAGAACATGTGGAAAAGAGCCATTGGCTTCAAGAGGTCTGGACAAGCAAATGGCAAATTGCTGCTTGCAATCTGTCCATCTGCATTTCTGCTCCAGCAGAGGGACAAAGGCCTCTGTCGCGGTTGGGCCTCAGGCGGCAAACAAAGGACCGCGTGCAGCCGCTCGCGCAGCCCAGGGCCACGCGGCCGGGAGGGGAAAACGGGAAGAAAAAGGCAAAACTCCTGGGTTGAGACAAAGGCAATTTTAACACAACAGGAAAGGGAGCAAGAAATAACAACAACAACAAGAACAGAATGATATACAACCGCGATTACCGTACCGACACTCGCCGAGCTCCCTGGAGGCCCCCGACCGCTCTCCTCCCCCGGGGGTCACCTCACCTTCCGCCCCCCCCCCCCAGACCCCAGACAGACACTAAACTCCAATGCTACAACTGAGATAAGAGGCTTAGATGTGCCTGGGGCCTGAAACTGGTGGTAACTCCACTTCTGCAACTGGGTGATGTTGCTGAAAACACAAAGGTTATACCAAAAGGTATCGACATGGGAAAAATAGCTGTCTCAGCTCCCATTCTAAATCTTCAAAATTATATCATTCCAGTGTCTAACTCTACCTTCTTAACTGAAGAGGTGTTGCATCCCACGTAAGGCCACTACTTCTCAGTCTGTCTTGACATCTGTGGGAGCCTAATATAGCTTGAATAAACAACTCTGATGTCTTTCTACATCACGTATCCCAATCTGTTTTTCAATTAGATGCCTTCTCTGACTCCTGATGCATGACCCCTACTGCACGAACATCAGATATATTTTTTTTAATCATTGTTTGAAGTAATGGGGTGCACCAGGGAGCACCACCAGATGCAGCATTTCTGCACTCTCTGCACAGAAGTAACTAGTAAAGCAATCTTGGCATTGGAAAATTGAGAGATTTGCACAGATTAGGAAGGTAAATATCTTGCATTGCAGTGGAATGACTTCTTTATTAGCACACACCTCCAAAAGCTTAATTTATGAAGGTATTTTTGAAGAAAGGTTTTAAGACTATGAATCCCATCATAGAAATAGGAGTAGGAGTTTTGGTATTAAGTAAATGACTGCAGAAGCAAACCACTGCTACATACTAACAAGATCAAATCTATTCTGGTAGTATTTGAATCTTATTATTAATACTCAGCATGGTTCCACCTACCTTTGAGTGGGATTCATCTCACATAACTGTTGACATCCAGAAGGAAGATGTCCCCTGCATGCTAATAACTGCAGATCACCAGAAAGAGACCTCTCAGTATATTCCACCTAACCTACATCAGATGTTTACACTGAGATAATACTATTCCTTAAAAATGCTTGCTTACTTCCCCTTATTTAACAGACTTTCTCTTCAGTTAGTTCAGGTTTAGATGTCCAGATTGCATGGCTAAGTTCAGTCTGCTTTGACCTCAGACTTACTGCAGATTTTTTCACTTGACAAAGGGGAAATTGAAAATTATGCTCACTTCCCAAGAAAAAGAAAAGGTGACTGTGTCAATATCCAGGAACACACTTCTACTTCATCAAAGGTGCTGGGGTCAACATGAGATAAAACATAGACAATTAGTTTCTTTGATAGAAGATGTCCTAAAAGGCAAATGGTCACAGGCGGTGCTGCCCAGTCAGCCTGTGCAGGAGCCTCAGGGCCATGGAGGCTGCATTGAGACCCGAGGTGCCGGTGGGACAGCTCTTCCATCCCGCGGTGATTGTTCTTGTCATCGCTGAATTCTGAGTCACCGCAAGATGAGGGAACGTCGCTGCTCAGATCTGACTGCCAACGCCTAATTTATTCTGCATTTTTGAGAAATCTATTTTTATCTTCTCCCCTTCGTTAATTCTAAGCAGCTGTCTGCCTGTTCAAAAACACTATTGATTGACACCTAATGATACCATCAATGAAAGCTGAATGAAAATTTTAAAAGGCATTCTAAAAAAAAATAATATCTCAGAGTGATGAAAGCGAGCAATAATTTATTTTCAAGAGTATCTTGTGGTAGACTTTCTGAGCAACAGAGAATTTTCATGTCTATGTGTTGTGGGTAAACACAGACCCAGCAAACTGCAAAAAAAGCATTGCCTTAGATATTCCACTGATTTACAATTCACTAATAATTTCTTTAGACAATTACTTTTATTAACTGATCCTGAATTTTAAAATATCCTGTGTGTTTAGTTTGAAAGCTAGGAGGACATTTCCAGATCAAATGAAGCTGTTTCTGAGTAAACTTCAAGTTTAACTGGTGAGAGAATTTGAGGACTCCTAGCTACCATGGTAGAAGTCGAGTTCTGATCTCTGACACAAACATTTTATTTTTGCTCTAAAAACTACATCTTAAAGAAGCTATTAGTTCAAATTTTTGAAAAATAAGTATAATTTATTTATTATTTAGTGACAAATATTAGCATATGTGATTGGCTCCCTAAAATGCAAAAGCCATCACACTCTGTTCTGCAAAATTTGCACATGAACTGAGAATAACATATATGGTCCTAACAGAATCAGACAGTACCATTCAGAGACACTGCATGCAATGCTTTAAGCTGGTGGCCCAGAGGAGAAATGAATTGCTTCTGAATACCTTAGGAAGATCCATTTTGAGAACTGACTTGGGCATTTAAGTTCATTGATTTCACTGAGACTTGATCACCGGAGACATGATTCATCTCAGCTCACTCTGATCAGATCGAAATTAGGTGCCTTTTCCAATAATCTTCAACTTTCTTCACAATGCAATACATAAGACTTTCTTGTAGCAGCCTCATCTGATAAAGCTACTTTAAGACTTTCAATAATAAGCTTTCCCTTCACTGACAGTTTCTAAGATTCTTGGGAAAGTCTACAGATTTGCTGCTCAAGTCTTGCAGTTGTTTAGGTTCACAGTTCATGACACTGTCCTAGAAAACATATGTAATTTAGGCAGGAAAAAGTGGCAACTAGAGGTGCCCATCTGTCCCTGGGAATTAGAGCTGAACTCAGATCTTATGCTTGAAGGATACCTGCAGCTTTAACTTAATTTACTGATAGCTAACACGCCAGAGAACCCCACTCTGAATGTTTAACAGACACAAGGAAGTTTACTGACAACAATCCCCCTTATGCATTCATGGGAATGTTATTCTTAATCTTGAAGAAATGTAAGAATCTTTCTCATCGATGTCTCAGAGAATTACATATGCATACACATATAATTAATTCATGATACTGACATACACACACATACCTAACAAAACCAAATTTCAGTAGTGTCAGTAGGACAAAATTTTGGAAGGAGCTTAATTTTCCCATAAGCATCAAATGTATACTGCTTGCCCAAAGGTCACATATACCTGGTGATTTGTCTTAGAGGCTATCTGTGATGCTTCCACATCCTCCTCCTCTTCACTGCCTTCTGAACAGGATTCAAACTCATCATTGTAATATTCTTCTGCAATTTCTGGGTCTTCAGGGATCTCTAAAGGCAATTACAAGTTTAAAGTTTATAGATAGACAATATGCATGATGCTAAAAAGATAAAATGGATTTTATACCACCCATGTTATGTCAGTAGCAATGCATTCTGTAATTGAAATCAAGGAATAGATTTTCAGATCAAAATGTTCAACTTTGATGACACGATAAGCAGTGTTAAAGCTGTCCCTGGCAAAAGGTCAGAGCCTCATCATATGTAAATTAATGACATCAAAGGATCTATATTGATTTTGGCCTGAAATCAATAAATCATAGAATAATTCAGGCTGGAAGGGACCTCATGGGATCATCTAATCAAATCAGGGTCGGTGTTGAATTGAATCCAACTTTGGTGAGCAGAAATTATGCCCCAGTTTGGTTTCCTCCAATACATATAACCTATGGTAAATACAACTACTAAGCTCAAATGGGAAATAATATATACCAGGCACATGTTTAAAAGATAAAAGAAATAAAATCTGTGTATTTTTCCAAACTTTCCTGAGGCAAAAGCATAACAAAATAAAAGAAACTGGTGTAAAGTCAAGCTACGCATACCTGGGTGTCACGGTCTCTCAATTTTTTACTGTCACAAGTTTTAGTAATAGCAGTGAAGTGCAATATTAATATAGCCAATGAGCCTATGAAGTACAATAATTGTTATAAAAACTCAACATATTCATCACAGCATGAAAGACACCCCAGCCAGTCTGCTCCAGGTGAAATCCTGTAGTATCCAAGACTCTGTAACTAAGGAGGTCGTGAAATGGCTCAAGGCCTGACTGCATCTGCTTCAGCGAGCTGTTCTTTCTCAGCAGAAGCGTCTAAGCATATACTGAATTTTTAGCACAGGCTAGACTGTCATGATTATCTAAATAAAAAGCATAATCCCTCGTTTTCTAGACAGAAAGATAGAAGGCAAAGAGTTGCCCATGAGAGACATGGTTAAGCAGCAGAAGCCAAGGAAACCCAGCTCGCCAGCCATCCCATCAGTAGCCCTGTGCATTCTCATATTCCAAGAGAGCTAACCCTCATGCTTCAATTCTAGGCAGTCTCTTACTGACTTATCAAGACAAGTTACATCCAGGCCCAGAAACAATATTTTTATGCTACCAGCTTTTAAAAAGAAAATGTTTGGTATCCAACTTTGCCTGTTATTATTACAAGAAATGTTAGTGGAAGAAAAAAAATGCCTAATAGTCAGCTGCCATAAGTCACCATAGCCTTAACTTTAGCTAATGCTGATTTCTGCCATTTTCCCCAACTAAGTATACCACTGTAAAGAAATATAAACCAACTTAACTATTACTGCATGAAATAAATAAAATTCAAACAATATGACACGAAAAATGCTTAGTAGAGGTTCTTTTTAACTTGTTTCACATGGATAAAAACCCAAAAGGATTTAAAAAAGGGAATACAATTAAAATCCATTAAAAGACTGGAGTTTGGGCAAGAGAAATAATTTAACCTTTAAGGCATATGAAAGAGAACTCAAGAAAAAAGTGAAAATGTATTTGTCTGCAGCACTAGGTTGTTGAAACTCTCCTGTTGAGATACGATCTCTACTATCTACTGTTTCCAAAGTATTTTAAGAAATAGTTCCTTTTCCTATAAGTTTGATTTACCTCCAAAATCCTGTTTTTCTGTTTTAAGATATTTATGGAAGCTGCATACCAGCACCTTGCTGCACTACCACAATTTCTAATCCTTCCTGTTTCTATTTTTCACCTTACTTGAAAAAAAAAAAAAAAAAGAGAGAGGATCAATACCTGGGCTTCCAGGATAAGAACCCCTCCAACCCAAAAGCTTTTTCACATAAAAGAAAGCATTTATTATTGTGTTTAATTGCTTGGTTTCTACAAAGTGCCATTTGTCAGAAAAGCCTAACGCTTCATCTTTAAAAAAAAAAAACTTAAATATTTTTAGCATGGGAAGAACATGACAAAATGAAGATACATCTTCTTTTCCAGACAGAGTGAACATTAATTTTCCTTTCTTGCAGAGACGTTGTCTTTTGCTGTGATTAGAATAATTTTATTAGGTTCATCTGCGTTCTATCTATGTCTATAGATGCATTCAAATACATTTGAATCAGCCTATTTATTATGTTATAAGGCAAACGTTGGACTACGCAAAGGTTCTATGAGTTGTTTTCTCATCCCACATTCTTTATTTGTTTATTGCTGTACTAAAAAACACAATCCTTCCCAACCAAACAAGGTATAAGTATCAGTCTTCTTAACTCCTAACTTCAAAATGTCTGCTCTGGCTACAGCAAACCTCTATGCCTTCCAAGCAGACTGTGACCAGCCAGAACTGCTGATGCCTCTGGACTATGCAGAGGGACCAGCACTGGACGCATCCCTCTGCCATGCCAGCTTTTACCAGAATGGCTCACTTTACCATTTGTGAAATTGTTCCGACAGCTGTTTATAGATGGTCAGTTCATCCGAGCTCAGTAATACAATTTTAAATGCTGTTTCAGACCCCAGAGGAGTTCCAGGGTACAGAAGTTTACTGGCCCTGATTCAGAAACTATTCCAAGGGACATTTCTGAAAGAAGACGATGTGTCCAGTGGATGAGAACCTGGGATTTAGCTACTACTAGTCTTTAAATCTTCTTAGTTTTATGACAAGTACATTAAAGGCGGCACCTTCAAGACATCGACACATTCATTTAGTGTATCTGGTTCCATAGAACAGTTCCTTGAGTCCTACTAAGTAGAGCCAACTCCCAGGCATTCACAAGCTACAGATGCAGAATTAATCTGAGTACAGAACAGCTAATCTAGTTGAGACTGAGGGTGAGCCTAATTTCAAGAACACATAAGCTGGCTTTAGCATAGTCGATACCATATACCAACATGGTGAGCTGAACCCCTGCTGGGTTTAAGTGCAGATAACTGGAGTGAGTTGGGAGAGGAACAACGTCACATTTTAGAAGGTCCTGACAGTGTCTGAAGTCCATTGGACCCCTTTGCTCACAAAGCACTCCTGACCCGTCCGAGGACAGTGAGTCCAAACCACCCCACTCCTTTGATGTGACAAAGCCACCCTGTGCAGCATACACGTGGGACGCAGGGACTCTGCTTTCCTCGCAGACCCTTGGAAAAGAAAGGTGATGGTAACATTCAATATAAAGGTTTCCAATACTGTGCCAGCTGGCAGAACATACAGCCTGATGGCTGCAACCCCACTGTAATATAGTTGTCCTTTAGATGCCTGTTCTCCCCCTGATACAGCATACTTATACCATCCCTATGGAGCAGAAAGGAAGGTCTCTACTGCTGCTTCTGCTCCCTGATGCCCCCCGATCTGTCAGCTGCTCTCTGAAAATACATTATGTTTTATCTAGCTGTGCATATTGCACTAAAGCCAGTCCTGGTACCTTTTATTTGCTTACAAAGCACTTCATTCAGAACAAACTCAGCTGTTACGTATTGCTAGGCAGCTTAGGTATTGCATTCAGACACTTGATATTCACTATTAGATAGTCAAATGAAAAGGAGCTCTGAATAATAACATTCCTCTTTAGGTTTCTTTCTGTACATTACCATGACAATAATTGTTGAAGGCAGGGTAAAAACCCATTATCTAAAAAATCATAAAAGCATGGTTATTTCCCAAGAAGACAGGCTATACAGAAAACAAAGGCATGCGATACTCTCAATATTTTGCTTAAATCCACCAAGAGCTTGTTTCAGGTAGCATGGTAACTTGGCAACAACAGTTTTCTCCAAAGAGATGAAAATACTTTGATAAATATCTTTAATTTTCTCTTGCTTTGAAGTCATAATTGGTGCATTGATACCGCATTCTCACATTCCAGTGCATGCAGAAGACAATAAGTAAGGCCGCTCTTATTTAAAAGAAGAAGAAGAAAAAAGAAAACAGAACGGTGTAACATATGTTCATTTTCACCACTTACATTCACAGTAACAAAGTCACACTTGGTTCCTAGGGACTATGATACATTTTTAATCCCAAGGTTTCATTACATCTCCGGAAGAAGGCAGATTTTCTCAGCTGTCACTTTCCCACCTTAAGGCAAAACTGCTGGAATTCCGTGTAGCTACACTCCTCAGTTTGCACAGGACCACAGACAGCCAAGTGAGGAGCAAATCTTTCGACTGCTCTGACAAACATATACTGTCATGAGATATAATGCACTCTTAATGTTATGGTGACATGAACTAAGACACTATAAAATGGTGCTACCATATCTGTGCTACCACACACTGCCACAGAGAGCTGGAAAAATTAAGAGGGGAGGGACCAGGACACAGACACTTGCGTTGCCCCCCTGGCAAGGCTTGGTACACGCTGGGGACTGAGGCAAGAGCAGAGACAAGCATTCCTCCACACTGTACACAGGCCACGCTGGGGACTGGGCAAGAGCAGAGACAAGCATTCCTCCACACTTCTGCTTCTGCATTGTGCTGGGCTGCAAGGCTGCCCACTGGCAGAACCTCATCAGGGACACAAAGGTGCCCAGGGTCCTTCCCTTTCTGTGGAAATTAATCAGCAAATTGCAGTTTGATCCCACATGAACAAGAGTAGCCCACTGGCAGGACCTCATCAGTAACACAAAGGTGCCCAGGGTCCTTCCCCTTCTGTGGAAATTAATCAGCAATTGCAGTTTGATCCCACATGAACAAGAGTTACCTACCGAAACGAAGATGACAGCAGCCTCCAAGTTGGGCAGGGGGCTGGAGGCCCTGGGTGCAAGGAGAGGCTGGGACAGCAGGGTCTGTTCCACAATAAGAAGGGAAGGTAAAGGGGAAACCTTATTGCTGTCTGCAACTCAGAGGATAAAAGGAAGGTGGAGCCAGACTAACCTCAGAGGCGACAGGCAGAGGACAAGAGGCAACAACTATCAGCTGGAAAAATCATAAATTCCAGTTTGACATTATGAAAAAAATTCTACAATGAGAGCGATCAAATACTGGAACAGGGCTTAAAGAAGCTTTGGGATCTCAGTCCCTAGAGGCATTCAAGACT